TCGGGCACGAAAGGGTCGAGGCCACGAAGAGGAACTCGCCGAGCATTTGCATGCAGGCGATTCTCTGAAGACGGAGCGCATCCCCTTACAATGGATTGCTTGAAATGACGAAAAGTCGCGTCGGTTCAGAATGCGACGAGACGGAACTCGCTGGATTTTGTTGCGAAAAGGGGAAATCGGGAGTCTCCTCAGACGGGGAACCGTCCTCCCGCCCTTTCCGTCCGATTCCCGAGGGAATTCCCGACTTCGGTCGGTGCGCCGCGTTTCGTGGGTGTCATTCGAGTGCTTCATGGCCTGGTCATTATCGGGTCGAGAGTTCAAAAAGGCCTACCGTTTTGACGTGATGGGGTCAAATTTCGGAGATGAGAATAGCATTTCATTGAATGTGTGAGCTCACAGCCGACAATGAGAGGACGAGGCATTGTTGGCTACGGAAGTTGTTGCTATGGTAACTGCTGGCAATGATAATGTGTCGTAGTTTGTCGCGTTACCAGTCTCGTCGCCGGTTTACGACGGTGCTCGTAACTTTGAGCAGCATCGAGTCAGTGCTCCAATATTATTCATTTCAATTTTGGCGTTTTCAAAACGCCACGAAAGAGGTGCGGATGTTTAAACTATTCTGCGGCGGGATCTACTGAACGTCACGGGGAGAGAGAAGTTGTGGAGTCGCAGTTACCGGGTGAAAGTGCATGACGATCTGCACGAAATGCTGCTTTGCAGGTTGCTTCCAAAAACAGTGAAACTAACGAAGAGAGAACAGAAAGCGAAATGCTCTGATTGGACTCGTTTCAGCCGGTGCGCGCACGAGCTTTTGCACTAGTCATACATACCCGAGCAACCAAGCAAGCCGGTGACCGCACCGAGAGACTGCAACACGCATACGTTGAAAGGAACAAGCGAGAATCGCCTTCAAGCGTTTCACCTGGACGAGTGAGGTGGAGTTGGAGGGACTCGTAAGATCTGGGACGAGAGTGAGTCCCTGGAGGAAGTGCATCGTCCGAAGGACGAAATCCAAAACCAACATCGAGTTCATCTCTCTGGAGATCTCTTCTGGGAACTTGAGGGGTTTCGGACCTGCCCCCACCACGACACCGACGAGACGGGCACACGGGCGAGTATCAGGTCCCTTCGAGCGCTCGGACGCGACTGAGGGGGAGCATCCGGTCGTCCTTGACCGGGATGGCGGGAGGAGGTCGCTTGCGTTTCCCGCAGGAGCGAATTTCGCTCGCGATTTCGCAATCTGAGGATCACCGAGGATGGCGTGGCTCGGGATAGGAATTCATTCGTCAATTGGCTTTGGTAGAATATATTGCCTTTCTTCGACCCGGAAATGAATCGAACCTCCTCGTGTTCTTCTCTGAGAGCATTAACAGGTATGAAAATGGGAGTGCTTTTCCTTTCTTCGCACAAAAGCAGTCCAGCAAATTTGAATCTCCATCTCCTCGGAGAACACTGAATCTCGTTTTTTGAATATGTGCATTTCATTTCAGTTTCTTTTCTATTCCCCCCCCCCCCATCCTCCGGGCTCCTGGGGGTTTTCAGAGGAAAGAAATAGACATAGACATTTATTGCGCGGCGATAAGCATTGCATACACAGTAAAAGAAACAAATGGAGAGAACATTCGAAGGATGTGTTTTTGGGGTGTTTGCTGAAGAGATATCTTTTCTTAGAAAAAAGCTTGGCTTTTATTAGACGAACATTTTCTTTTTTTTTTTAAAGACAGGACATGTGACGGACATACAGGACAACGGACGCATTTTACATGACACAGAGAGGAAGGGGGTGCCCGCTTGGCACGAGCACCACATCCGTATCACAGTCTCTTAGGCTGGGACACCCCTTTGCGGTCCTGTAGGAGGCCTTAGGGGCAGCTCATGGGTTGCCTACGCCCATGACTGGCACGAGTGGTTTTTAAGGTGTACTGCACCCGCATCTCCTAGGCGTGGCACACAGGGTGCGTGTGTTATCCCACGCTAAGCAGATACTCCCCATGAAAGCAGGTGGGTCGCCTGTCGGCGGAGGAAGAGCCCGCCGTCACACGGACGCGATCCCTCGCCTCCCGGGTTTCACTCGGAAGCCAGAACCACTCGGCCACCGAACCCCGATCTAGAACATTTCCTGTGTATTTTATTGCTGGAGGACATTAACAAGGCGAACTTCTGCCGACATGGGGTGTCGCTAGAAATAATCGGATAGATGCTTACGAATAAAGGTCATATGCTGGGCATGTGAGAAGAAAATGGGATTCATCAGAAAACGTGACTGTTGGTTCGTATTCAAGTAGGGTTCAAACTTGAGATTCTGTTTAAACAAACGATATATAATACAGGGTGCGTCAGATATCTGAGAACAAAATTTGACTTTGAGGAAAACAAAAATATTCAGTAGAAAAAAACCAATATATTTTCATAGAATTTGGTACACATGTTCTTACATACACATAGCAAAAGGCTATTCAATAAAACCGCCTTCAACCTCGATTGCGGCCTCGATGCGGCTTCTGAAACGACTACATGCGTTGATCAGGTGATCCTTATTTATGTTTGCCATAATGTCCCCGATGGCAGCCTTCAACGAGTCCTTGGTATTATGGGCATGCTTGTTGGTCTCCCTCTCAACGACGCCCCAGACGTAGTAGTTCAGGGGGTTTAAATCAGGAGGAGCTAGGAGGCCAAATGTTAGGGGTAACATGATCGTGAAAATTTTCGGCCAGCCACTCCTGGGTCGTGCTGGCTGTGTGAGAGGGAGCAGAGTCTTGCTGGAACACGTACGGCCTCCCGCGAGCCACTCCCTCAATCCAGGGCTTGACAGCGTCTTTTCTAGAGAAGCTTTTCTAGGCAATATCGCAGTTCAGGGATTCTTCCTTGTAAAAGTCTGCGGTGGTTCCATCGGCTCCTGGGGCTGATCCTGACTTCAAGGTGTCTGTATTTCGCACGAAGAACAAAAAACGAATCTCGTCGATCCTGAATTGAGGGAAGTGGGGATACCTTCAAATACAGTTAGATTTTTTTGTCGGAAATATCGCCAGAATTTCCCTTCGTCGTTTTCTTGAATAGCTCTCTTCATATCCAAGCGTTGCTGGTGCCGATAGACATCTTTTTACTTCTCCAATTTGCGACGATATCGAGAGCGAGCTGAACAATATTCTTCTGGTGTTGAAACTTCTT